TTATAGGTGAGATCATATGGTATTTGTCTTTTGCCCCCTGGCTTATTTCGCTTAGCATAATGCTCTCGAGTTCCATCCATGCTGCCACGAAGTTTAGTAGTTCTTTTTTTCTTTCTGCTGCGTAGTATTCCATTGTGTATATGTACCATCACTTTTTGATCCAATCATCTACTGATGGGCATTTAGGTTTCTCCCAACACTTGGCTATTGTAAATTGCATAGCAGCACTATTTACAATAGCCAAATGTTGGAAACAGACTAAGTGCCCATCAGTAGATGAAAGGATTAAAAAACAGTAGTATATTTAAACAATGGAATACTATGCAGCACAAAGAAAGAGGAAGGAATGCCTACCTTTTGACAGCATGGATGGAACTGGTGAATATTTTTCTAAGTGAAGTAAGCCAGTCAGCAAAAGACAAATACTGTACGGTTTCATTTATAGGAGGAATCTAATGAACAAAAATAAAATAATGAAAAAAATAGGATGAGGGACATGGAAACTTGGATCAGATTGATATCTATAAGAGGAGAGGAAGGAGGAAGGGAATGATGAAAAGAAGAGGAAGGGATTAGTGAAAAAACATGTTTGAATGACCCACGGATATGGACAACAGTGTGGTGATGGACTGTGGGAGTGGAGGCGTGAGCTGGATGGAGGTGCCAAATGGGAAAAATTGGGAAAACTGTAATTGAATAAACAAGATTTTTTTTAAAGAAAGCACTTTCTCACTATTAAAAAAAGTAATGTCTACTGCATACAGTGAGGGGAAAGAGAGAATTAAGTAGGAGAGGTTGAATAAGCTGAATTCAGGCTGGTAGCTGAGGAATATAAAAATAATTTGAGTGTTACAGAGGTAAAGATGACTTTAAATGAAATACACATGAATGTGTATAGATAGGTATATACTGAATATAGTAGATTATCTATGTTATATCTGTGAATATAGTGAGAAATCTAAAATCATTTTATTCTTAAAATGCATATATTTTCTAATATTGTCTTTAGGAAAGATTCTTTATCTTTCTACTTAAAATAGTGTCCTAGTTTATAGGCAAGATCATCAACGTAGTAAACTTTTAATTTAAATTAAAGGGATTAGTTTTCAAATGTAGCCACTTCATCCATATCTGTTTAAGGTGAAAGGAGCAAAAATTTCTATGAACAACACTTTACAAAGTATTAAAATATGGAAAAGACTCTTTGTAAGATGCAGTGAAAGGATGAATCTGATCACTTACGTGTACTATTGATTTACAATTGGTATTCTAAGCTTGATGGATTTGTACTACCAGAGGAGGCAAGCAGTTGCATTTAAATGTATCTATTACTCTAGTAGTATACTATTATTATGGTAATGACACATTATCTATGGTGTATAGTATAATTCCAAGCACCAAGTAAATGTGTCACTTGACAAAATAGTTCATCTAAATTAAAAATTATTCCTTTGACAGTTGAAAACATATGCTTATATAGTAGCACATGCCTACTAAGTTTAAATAGCTTTGGAAAGTTATAATGGGAAAATTATTCAAAGAAAATATATCTTGTTGTCAATTAACTTTAAAACATGTCAAATATTTATTAGTAAAATGTAACAAAAATATTAGCTTTATAATTTTTTAAAAGCTGACTTACAATCAATGTTAAAAATTTTAATAGGACTCATTGAAAATAGTGGTTCTATCTTTCATAGTTTTCAAAGTTAAATTTGCAAATATTTTTGTACAACTGGCTAATTTTAAAGAAAATATTAGTATTTGAATAATATTGCTTTAAAATGAACAAAATTTTCTGACTTGTGAAGAGAATAATCTCTTTTTGTTTCATGAAGTTTTAAAATACAGGGATATTAACTTTTAAATAAGGAGAAATAAAAGTATTATACCTTAGTGCTTTTGAAAATAATTCACTTCTAATAATTATAGTTTTCATTTTAAAAGTATATGATTTTGACATTGCTTTGTTTGAATACTTGAAAGATATACTCTAGGTTTTCTTTATTTATTTTCACTTCTAATCATTTCAAGAGATATATATCTTCTAATATGATAGTTTCAAGTTATATCCCTAAATGATAAAATTTTTCCTAAAATGGTTTCATGAAATGGTTTCATGTTGGTTTATTTTGTTCTATGCAATCTCGTATAGAGAATCAAGTACAAATAGGCTACACTTGTTGGATATGAGAAAATATTAAGTAATTGATTTTTCTCCTAAATTTTAGCAGTATGTTTAGTAATTTATTTTATTATATGTTTTGGGGGAGTAGAGAAGTGGAAAGATTTCTTTTATTAACCAGCCACATGCATTTGCTGTAACAATACTTAGGCAAGATACTGAGATAAGGATTAAGATCACATCAGTCTGAGTGTAAAGGACTGTATTGCAGTTACTAAAATAAAGTCGCCTGGATAGCTCTGGATGGGGATAAATAACAAGAACAACACAGGATTCATCCACTGTACTTGTAGTTTTGACAGACTTTAGCTGTCAACCCCATGTACCCTTTACATGAATAAACATCTACTGCTCACACCAAACTGGAAAATTTAGTTTGCTAAGTATACATTTCCCCCTTTAAATCTCTTAAACATAAGCTTTCTCAGCAAAGCTTTGTCTTATTTTAAATGGAATCCATATCTACTTTATTTTTTCTTCCAATGTCTACTGCATCTCAGTAATCTAATTTCCACAGTCCATTGACATATGCTGCTAGATGGTAACAAAACTCCATCTCAGAAATGTCAAAGTAAATGAATAAGGTAAAATCACAGAAAATAAGTTTATCAGTGAGCTGTCTGAGTTCCCAGGTCCCGACTGTTCTTCTGATTCATCAGTCTGGATGAACTCAGAGAGGCACACTGGCACTTTTCTGGCCAACACCCCTGAACTGCAATGCCTCAGGAGAACATTTCTAGGAACATATTACTGTCAATATGCCCTGCCTCCCAGACAAAGCTAGTCATACTAAAAGTATGAAGGGTAGAATATACTTGAATCTCTAAATCTTTAACTTGTAAAACAATTTTAATTTTAATAAAATATTTAAAGAAAAAACTTGTTATATTATTTATAACTATTTTATAACAGTTGCAATTTATATAACACAGATAGTGACTGAGGAATGGGAAATTGTATAGAATAATAACTTGCTAACCTAAAATTAGGAGAACTGTGTTAACTTAGAAATAGCTCATTTTATTTTTATTTTTAATGCTGAGGATACATCTCTAGTGTATGAATGAAAATTATTAATATGCAACTTCATGTTTTTGATAATTGTGTAAGAAAAAATAGAACAAATTAATAATGTTTGTTGTGAAGGCTATCTGCTCTACCTGTCATATGGGCTCTCCAGGTTTCTTATGATTAGTATTTCACGGTGCATCTTTATTTTATCTTCCTACTTTTAATCTATATTTGTCTCTATATTTAAAGTAAGTTTCCTTGAAATATCATGCACTCCATTCTATTATGTAGTTTATTTTTGCCTTAAATTGAAGTTTTAAATATCATATTTAATATATTATAATTATTGATATATATGGATTTAAATAAACCATCCTATTTGTTTTCTAATTTTTCCCTATGTGCTTTATTGTATTTTTGTTCTTATCTTCTGCTGATTAAGAAATTTTTTAGATTTACATAATATTTTCCCCTAAAGAGGCACCCAGATTTTATAAGATGTAATACGAACTTCCCAAACCCCAACTAGAAGGGGGTTTGGCTCTTGACCTGATGGTAGATGTCACAGAGAATGATAATGACTTGTGGCATGGGGTGATGTGAAAAGATAAAGTAGACTATTAGCATGTTGTCTCATGATAATCTGAGTGAGGAAATATGGAGGGGATTTTCCACTGAGCAGTAGATGCTGAAGCTAAAATGTCATGATGCAGAGAGAGAGCCCAAGGAAAGTGTAGTATGTCATCCACATGCTAATAATTATATATGTTTTGAAACTTGGAACATCAAGAGCTGTTTGCAGAGAGAAAGGGGAAGAAAAACTATATGAAAAGGTACCAGGGGAAGAAGATAGCCATTCATGGGTAGTTGGACCACCCTTTCTTTCAATGCTTCTGAGTTTCAATTGAGGTCCTTTTGTATGTCAGTAATAAATCCAGTTTTCTTAAAGTAACAAAAATCTGAGTAAATAATGACATGTAAAATGACATGTATCTGCAATTATTTGTTTCTTAGTTATGTCACTAAAAAGAGAAAGGAAAACCTTGTTTCTAATATTTTTCAATTAGTATAGAAAAATGTTAGCAAGACAAAATGAATGTAAGTACATATTTTGTTATACCTCGTTAATATATAACCATGGGAATAATTGTTTAAATGTTCATCATAAATATTAAAATATGTAATGTATTTTTAAACATGATTATTATGGTGATTTTTTTCTGACACAAGTGTTTTACAATAATTACAGCTGTATAATTGTTTAATGTTCTTTGTTATTTTAAAATGTAACTGGCATGTGTTTAAATGGATGACTGATTATGTAGCTGTGAATCAAAATAATTGTTTTCTTTGAATCACTTAGATATGAAAAACAATTAAATAGTTTGCTTCATCTTCTAACTGCCTTGAATAAATTTGATCACTAAAGTTCAGTTTTTTTTAAGATTGGTCATCTCATTAATTCATTTGCTTTTAAGATTGTTTCAATTCTTTTTGTTCAAACAGTTAAATACCTTTAAGAAAAAAAGAAACGGTGACATTAGCAACATCTCTACTTTCCCAGGGGAGATAGTAAATTATTTCTTCCTTGGTTCTTTTATTTAAACTCATTAATTAGAAACTAGTATAATTTTATTTATACATTATGTAAAAGAGTTGTATGAGAAACCAGAGATGAGGTATTTCCTCCTTTTATTTCATAACTTCCATCATGAGCAAATTCTTCAAACTCTATACCACTGATTCTGATTCACACTCTGAAATGACAATTGCTCATCCATGTCTTCCGCATCTCTCTTTTCAGGAATTGAAGGGGAACACTGTGAAATTAAAATGAATGAGGGCTTCTCCCTTTCCTGTCAGAATTATGGTGACTGTGAAGATGGGGTTAACAATTTCAGGTACAAAAAAAAAAAATCAAAACAAAAACCTAGATACATATATACACATCTAGATGTATCTAAACATATGCCTGTTTATAATTTAAATTGACAATTGAATATTTTTGTTATTAACAATCTACCATGTATAATTATTTGAAGCATTGACTTTAGATATTCATATCAATGAAATTATTAAATATCTTGTTTAAAAGGTATGTTTGCAGACCCTGGTTTCCTGGACTTCTGTGTGAAATTGAAACTGAGTGTTCCACTTAACCTTGCAAAAATGATGGACATATGAGGACCTGACACACAGATTAGAGGCTATATTTTCCCAAATCAATTATTTTATATCTGTAATTTAACAAATATTTTAATAACAAAATGAATATATATCCACCCGTTATTCAATGTATGAAGCAGAATATTACTGATGTCCTTGTGCTTGTCCTCAAGGACTCCTCCACTGTCCCATCCAACTGAATCAAATATCCTTAATTTACATTTACCACCTTTGCCCTTAATATACTGTATTAACTGTATATATGTCTGAACCAAATACTCTTTAGTTTGCATATTAATATAACTGAAATAATACTATGTATAATCTTCCAAAATAATTTATTTTGTTGAATTTGACATTTCTTCATTATCTAATAATGCATTTTTACTTGTTTTTTTTATTTTTAACTATTGTATAATACCCCATTTAAATATATGCCGATATTTATTTATTATTATTCTGTACATGGATTTGGGGCTTATCTACCTCTTCTTTTTTAGAAATAATAATACTATTCAAGTTTACAAATATTTGCCAAAATACATAAGTACTAGCGTTACTCTAAGCTGTATACCTTGAAATAGATTTGCTGAACCATTACATGGACATTTTTACATTTACTATATCACATTTTTTAAATTTCATTTTACTTTTTCAAAATGGAACATTCAAACTCAGAAAACAAAATATTTCTATTTGCATTGCCAGATTATTCCTTTTGAGCTTATCAAAAGAATTATTAATTCTTTTGTTAGTTGTATGTACTGAAAATATCTTCTACTAGTTGTGGCTTATCATTTCATCTTCTTTATAATGAGCTTTGAGTACTGAAACTTAATATAATTAAATTAACTGATTAGTTTGTATATGCTTTGCTTTTTCATCTTGTTTTAAAAATGTTTACCTTAGAATTTTTTTCTTTCTTTATTTTTAAATACTGTTTATTCTATTACAGTTGTCTCAGTTTTTCCCCCTTTGCCCTCCTCTACCCATCGCACCCCACCCCACTCTCCCACAGTCAATTCCCAGGCTGTTGTCTGCGTCCATGGGTCATTCATACCTATTCTTTGTTTAGTACCTTCTCCTTCTCTCCACCATTGTCTTCCTTCTCCATCCCTTCTGGTCACTTTCACTCTGCTCCATGTTTCCATACCTGTGGTTTATTTTGTTTGTTAGATTATTTTGTTGAATAAATTCCACTTATAGGTGAGATCATATAGTATTTATCTTTCTCCGACTGACTTATTTCACTTAGCATGGTATTCTCCAGTTCCATCCATCTTGTCGCAAAAGGTAGGAGTTCCTTTTTGTCTTTTTTTAAATGCAGATTAATTTTATTTATTTATATTTTTAAATGTTGAGATCCATTATAAAATATTAAAAAATTTAAATCCATTATAAAGTCTCAGCCATTAAAAGAACATGATACCAGCACAGAAATAATCAAGTAGATCAATGAAATAATTGAACATTCTAGAAACAAACATATTTATCTGTCTAACAATGTAATATATGATTAAATTGATATTTCAACTCAATGGGGAAAATAAGGCTTATTCAACAAATAAGGTGCATGGACCACTATTAGTTGAAATAATACAAATGTGGAGCCCAGTTTCACACATTATACAAACAATATTCAGATGAGTTAAAAATCAATATGTAGAATCTAAGGAGTTTTAGGAGAAAATACAAAATAGTATTTTTCTTATCCTGAAGTAAAATATGCAAACCAAGAAGCTATAAAGTAACATTAGACGATATTAAACCTTTAAGACTATACAGTAATATACATATTTAAAAAGTTAAAGGACAAGTAATAAAATAGAGAAGTATTTGTGACACATCTAAAAAAGGGTTGAGTATTTTTTGTTTTCTGGGGTTTTTTAGGGAAAAATTCTACAAACATTTAATCAAAAAATGGAAAAAGAATACCAAAAAGTCATTTAAAGCTTTTTAAAAGTAATAAAAACAGGCAAGACATATACAAAAACAGGTTTAGTTTCAACAAATAATAAAAGAACAATTAAAATAACACATCCTTGTCACAATCAGATTAATAAGTATTAAAAATATTTGTAATATCAAGTACTGGTGACTGTGAAAGGAACTGGGTATTCATAGACTCTTTTTCTTCATTTTATAAAAAAAATTCTTCATCTTCTTAAAGTAGCCCCTTGTCTCTGTAGCATATTTTGCAATGCTGGTTTGGTGGAGGTGTATTCTTTTGGCCTTCTTTTGTCTGGGAAACTCCTTATTTCGCCCTCCATTTTAACTGAGGGCCTTGCTGGGTAAAGCAGTCTTGGTTGCAGGCCTTTGCTTTTTGTAACTTGGAATACTTCTTGCCATTCCCTTCTGGCTTTCAGTGTTTCTGTTGAGAAGTCACCTGCTAGCTGTACTGGGTCTCCCTTATATATTACTACCTGTTTCTCCCTTGCTGTCTTTAAGATTCTCTGTTTGTTTTTTGATATTTGCCTTTTTAATTATGATGTGTCCTGGAGTGGGCCTCATTGGGTTCCTCTTGAATGGGACCCTCTGTGCTTCCTGGACTTGTGTGACTTTTTCTCTCCTTCAATTGGGAATGTTTTCCATCATTGCTTTTTCAAATAAGTTGTCTATCCCTTCCTCTTCTTCTTCCCCTTCTGCTATCCCTATTATACAGGTATTATTACGTTTCAGGTTTTCCTGCATTTCCCTCAATGCCTCTTCATTCTTTTTGTATCTTTTTTCATTTTCTTCTCTTTCTGGGAGCTTTTTTCTACCTTATATTCCAGCTCGCTGATTCATTCCTCTGCTTCATCAAGCCTGCTTTTGATTCCTTCTACTGTGTTCTTCAATTCAGAAATTGTGTTCTTCATTTCCTCATGTCTCTTATTGATAGTTTCTATGACCTTTTTCATGCTGATATAGTTTGTAGTAAGTTCCTCATAGTTTCCCTGTAGTTTTTTGGTAATTCTCTCTGAGCTCACTGAGCTCACTGAGTTTCCTTAGAATCATTGTTTTGAACTCAATATCTGGTAGTTAACTTACCTCTATTTTACTTAGTTCTGTTCCTGGGGATTCCCCCTTTCCCTCCAACTAGGGGGTGTTTCTTTGTCTTCCCATTTTTTGTGAGACTCTTCTTTTTTTGCTTCTGCTTCTTAAATTGTTTTGTCTTGATATCCTGACTTTGTGGTGTGAACTTCTATGGTAGGAGACCGCTGTTTTTTATTTCTGGATCTGCCTCTGATGATGTCAGATGTTGACCCTGTCTGACTTTAGATAGTCTGTTTGAGACTTCTAGGAATCTACTGTCTGTTCTGTCTCCTTCAGTTGTTAATATAGTCACTCTGCACTCATCAGGCTGGCTTAGACACCACAGGGCAGGGCAGGGCAGAGTCCCTTCTGGGGTTGGGGTTATTGGGTCTTCTCACGCTGCTGCTGCTGCTCAGGGCAGTGGTCTGCCTGAGCAAGATGGCTGCTACCATTGGCGGATGAGTCAGCACTGGGATCCTGCTGCCTACTCTCTCAGTTCTCTCCCCAAAGCCTCCTTTCCTAGTCTCTCCTCAGGTGTCTCTTGCCCACTCTGCCCTCATCTTTGCCAGAGACTAGGGTAAGTGGCTGCAAATAAATATTTATATGTTGGCCCTTTAAATGGCTCTTTGCTTCTCCAGCCACCTGTCTCTGTCAGAGAGCAACCCTGCCACTTTTCGCAACTGGCTATTTTCTTTGCACTTTGGGGGCTCTGGTGCTGTAGGCTGGATATCCCCACTTATCATTTAGGCCCCGTTTTTCTTAGGGGAATCCAACTGGCAGTTTCAATACCCTTCTGGTGTTGCCACCAGTGGGCACCATGCCTGCCTTTTCAAGTCTCTACCATACTCCTAACTAGTTAGGTTGTGCTAAAGCTGATTCTTCTGTCTGTCCTAGGTTATAAGGCTCCTCTTTCACTATTATTCAGTTGTTTGTTCCAGGTGATTTCTCCCCAATTTAGTTGTAATTCCAGGTTGGTCCTGGGAGGAGGTCAGTGTGACTTCCACTCACTCCTCCACCATCTTGATTGTCCTCTGTTTACCTTAGAATGTTTCCATCTGTACTAATCAGAAATATTGGTCAGTACTTTTCTCTTATTGTGTTATCCTTGCCAGCTTTTGGTATCAAGGTTATTTTGGCCTTATAAAATGTGTTAGGATGTATATTGCCTCTTTAATTTGTTGGAAGAGTTTAAGAAGGATAGGTATCACATTTTCTTTGAATGGTTGGTAGAATTCACTGGTTGAGGTGGGGTACCCTGTTCTCACAGAGACCTCTGGGTCACTGCAGGTGGAGGAAAATAAAATAAGTCATCCAGATATTTCTTTGTCTGCCATAAAAAGGGGATGGTGATACCCTCTAGTAGAGAATGTCCTGAGCCCTTCTCTTGATGTGGCTTTTATTGAGAACAATTTGTGCAGGGGTATACAGCATGCATGCAAAGCTCATCAATCAGTGTCAAAAAGCTATGTTTGAAGGAGCATAGAGAGTTTCCTCAGGTCAGGGTTTGGTAGACAGGGTGGTGCACATTTGGCCCTGAGACCTGGAAAATAGATCACATTCTATGCTCAAACCCCAAATACCAGTACTCATTAACTCGAGGCCATTCTTAGCAAAGTAAGTTTCATAGGATTTAATGCATTCCTTTTCCAGGCCTAATTGTCCCTAGGAACATCCTGATCCACTTTAGGGCTATATCTACATTTAGTTTTGTTTCACTGACCCAGTCAGGCTGCCAGACAGAAGAGCCAAGAGATAAGGAGACTTCTTTAAGATATAATGAGGACTCCAGCCATGACAAAGCCAAGGGGTGAGGGTCTTTTGCCTCTTCTCCATGTCCCCCAAGTTCTTCCCTAATGGCCCCTATGTGAATGTGTCTGTCTTAAGTTGCCCCTGCCATTGAGGGATCTTACCCATCATTGACGAACCAGTTATCCTCTGGGGCCAAGCAGGGTGTAAGGGAGGCTGTGCCCCTGCCAGGGGGACAGATTTCATCTCCTCAGTGGCCTATTTTCCCAAAGGCTCCTTGCTCGGCTCCAGCCTTGCGGCCTTCTCGCCTATAGGCGATGCTATAGTACCTGAAACTACTTGGTACAGTTCTCAACAACAGGTGAAGCCATTTGGCCCTGAACTTTTAATTCTTCGTAGGTTTTTGATAGTTTTAATTTTATCACTGTTTATTGGTCCATGTAGATTTTCCAATTCTTCATGATTCAGTCTAGGAAGGTTATGTATATCTAGCAACTTACCCATTTCTTCCAGGTTTTTGAATTTGGTAGCATATAGTTTTTTAATATTCTAATATGATCCTATGTCTTTCTGTGGTAACATCTTTTATTTCTGATTTTGTTTGAGTCTTTCTCTTTTGTCTTAGTGAGTCTAGCCAGGAGTGTGTCAGTTTTAAGGACCAGCTATTTGTTGTATTCATTTTTTTTATAGTCCTTTTGTTCTCTCTGTTCAATTCTGCTCTAATTGTTATTTTCTTTCTCCTGCTGACTTTGGGCTCTTTTTTCCCTTTTTCTGATTCTTTTAAGATGTAATGTTAGGTTGTTTATTGAGATTTTTCTTTTTTTCTTGAGATTGGCCTGTAGTGACATAAACTTCCCTAATATTACTGCTTTTGCTGTATCCCAAAATTTTGATGTCAAATTGTCATTCTCATTTGTTTCTATACTATCTTTTGATCTCACCTTTTACTTTTCCTTTGATACAATTATTTTTAATAGGCACTGTGGAATATAATATAGAGATTCCTCAAAAAATTAATAATGGAGTTACTATATAACTCCACACTTTCTCTTCTGGATATCTACATGAAAAATTTGAAAACATATATTCACCAAGACATATGTACCTCTAAGTACAATGTGGCATTATTCACAATGGCCAAGACATGGTAATAGCCAAAGTATCCTTCGATAGAGGATTGGATAAAGATGTGGTGCATATATACAATGGAATGCTACTGAACCATAAGAAAGAATGAAACCTGACATTTGCAACAACATTAATGGACACTGAGAATATGCTAAGTGAAAGAAATCATACAAAAAAAGTTAAGAACCATATGATTTCACACATATGTGGGATATAAAACTGAAAGCAACAAATGAATAAATAAGAAAAATAAAAAACAACACATAGACGCAGACAACAATATGATGGTTACCAGATGGAAAGGGATTGGGAGGGTAGCAAAGGATAAATGGAGTCAAATATATGGTAATGGAGGATGATTTAATTTTTGGTGGTGGACAATATACAGATCATGTACTATGGAAATGTATACTTGAAACCTATACAATCTTAATATCCAATGTTACCCCAATAAATACTATCATACCTCAGTACTGGTCAGCTTCAGAACTTGTCAAACCTTGTCCTTGTTGCATTTTGACTAGAAAAAATGTTTCAGCACTTGGTGCTTGCTCGAGACTTGTTGCACTTGCTAAAATTTGTATGAATTATGATGCCACCGCACAAGAAAAAATGCTTCATCACTCATTGTTTGCTTGCTCAGTACTCATTAATTTCAGCACTTGTCATGAGTTCTGGAATGAATTAATGATGAGTACCAAGTTACCACTATATAATAAAAAAAAAATTTCCCTTAGGGAAAAAGATATTTCTTCTATTTCCTTTAAAAATATTTAGAGTTCTGCCATTCATATTTAAATCTTAATCTATCTGGAATACTCTATATGTGGTATTAGGGAGGAATATCAGTTTATTTTTTTCATATAAATAACCAACTTTGCCTGCTACATGTATGGAGTAAGTCAGCCTGATCTACAATGTTTTCTTGATTGTAGATTAAGTTCCATATATATTTTATTTCTCAGCCTCTATTCAGTTTCTTAGTTCAATTAGTCACCTATATGCCAGAACCATAAGTCTTAATTACTTACCTTTAAAATAGCTCAATACAGGTAAGGTAAGACATCTTATATTTTTAATCTTCTTTAGGAAGCTTTAGTTGTATTTGACAATTTTTTCCTGTTAAAATCAACTATGCTCTGCATAAATCCATGCATCCTTCAAACAGAAGCCAGGTAGAATTTTAATTGGAATTCCTTTGTATTTGTAGATCAATTTGAGAAGAATTGATATGTCTTTATATTGGTCTTTTTAAAAATACTGGGGAAATGGCAGACATCTGTGATAGTGTCAACCATAAAAAAAAAATTAGACGAATTCACCTGTGCATTCATTGATTATGATAAAAAAATACTCATTGGCCATTTTACAGTTGATTTCTAAGTATTAAGTGCTATGTTTGTCTTAATAGAGATCCAAAATCTAGAATTTCTGTTAAAATTTGTAACAAAACCTGTTTAAATTACTGGTAATCTTCTGTTATTTCTATCCTTTTCTATACCACTTACCAGTCTGGTGAAGTAAATGGGGTTATGCTTTTAATCCCTTCCTCTGCAACTCTCAAGCCTTTTAAGGGGACACTGATCACCACAGTTCTCATAGGAATACAGAATTTCTTTCAGTTTAAAATCTGAATGGGTATGAAGGGGCATTTCAAAATCTTCAATTTTTCAAAATTTCAATTGGGTTTTCTTTTGTAGTATCTCTTATTCTGATATGGAAATTCTGTTTATTACTAAGTATATTGACTAGACTAAATATTCAGAAACTGTGGGGAAAAGCAAAGCAAACCAAAGCAAACCAAAGCAAAACAAAATAAAACATAGATTTGTGACCATTTACCAAACTTAAATAATCTTGTATTCTTACTGGTGGTCTTTCAAAGATAAACTTAATTTCAGAGCTAGTATCTAATAACTTCTAAAAGGTCAATGTATCTTTCTTTCATCAAAGAAGTCATACTGGTAAATGGACTCATCTTTCTGAGGAGGCTTCAGTAAGATACATGTAACACGTGACTATACTTCAAAGGCACTTTCTATCCTACGGTTGAGGGACTGAGTATGTGACATGGATTATGCCTGAAGTTGTGTAAGAGACTAGGAATCTCTACAAAGGCAAGTTAAATTATATTTCTGTCCTGTAAGCTTTTATATTTAATTCTATAGATATGTAAAGTAACACCACAAAAGATTGTCCATATAATTTTTTTCTGTTAACCCCTGACAGGCAATCACTGATTAACCACTGACAAGAGTATCTGTGAATCGATCCATTGATCACCAGTTTGTTTCTCTGATTTGTGTGGTTATTTGCTCAATTTTGTTATCTGATAAGCAAGCATATTCAACAAGTTTTATCTGTTCTTGGATCCCATTATTTTCCTTTATATCAGAGAACCCAACTTCACGGCAGCATCCCACAGTGTTGTCTCCAGCCTGTAAAGAACAATCACCATAGAGCTTAAAAAGACACTGGTGTCTCCTCACCAATCCTATTCTTAATGTTGGTGAAAGCAGTACACTCCTGGGTGAGTGGAGTTTTTTCCTAGGAGACTGGAATGTGCTCCTCTATTTTCTGAGGAAAGAAATTAAGGGGTAACTGAGCAGTTTCCATATAATTGATTCATTCAAATATTTCCATAACAATGAATCCAGGAACTGTTCCCTCTAATATGCATCAAGTAAACTTGGGCACTGCTACTTCATTACTTTAAACTGGAATTAAGTCCTGTCTTTTATTAGCCAGCATATCTAACACCACACCAAGATGTTCATATTAGCATATTAAATCTTCTTTCCCCATCCATGACAATAGCTTAGCTCATTTAAGTCTTATGTTTATTCTCCTTTTGTCTACTCAGCTTTGTGACAATATGAATTGCTGGGGTTATACAACTCTTTTAGGGTACAAGCTATCTGTTCCCAGTTAAATTTTCCACCTTTCATCAGCAAGGATGGAATATAATTATTTGTGTGGGCTAGAACCAGTGATAAGTGTTCATTCAGGTGTGGCTAAGGAAAACTGGCAGTGGTTTGTAAGTCAATTCTTTCAGTGGTATGTAGAGGAAGGTTTGTATACAAAGCAGAATAGATTACCAAAACACAGGAGAAATTTTTCCTCTATTAAGAAGAGAGATTAAAGTGAATACAGATATTTGAGTTCCTTAATCATGACTTTTCCCAGTCTACAGGGGAAAGAAACTCTTTTAAAAATACTATACAGACTATATTGATTTGGTGTTGCTGCTTAGCAAAAAACCCTTGAAAATTCAGTGGTTAAAAATAACAATCACTTATTATTTTCACATCCCTGGTCTGCTGCAATTTGGCTGATTACTATAGGTTGAGTTCATCTTAGTTTCTCTGGCATATGACTAAGGAGGGAGGAGTGTTCGCAAATCTGTATGTCAACTGAAATGGCTCTGTTCCAAATGTCTCTCTTCCTTACTGGGCTAGTATGTTCTTCTCATGGAATAGCAGAGGTTCAAGAGAATAAGGAGAAGCATGCAAACCTTCTCAATCACTATGCTCTGAAATAACACCCTTGCTCCTTAACTTATAGAGATTGCTTTCCAAAAACAGAATCGTCACCTGCCTGAAAGTGACGGTGGGGCAAATAGGTACTCTTCTCATGATGAAAACCTGGCCAGGAAAAAAGAGCGGTAAAGAATCAAGATTTAAAAATGCTATCAACTGAAGAGAAGATAGGATTAGTAACAGGGTAATAAACCCACAGAAAATCTGAAGACTGAAGTATGGGGCGTTAAGTGCCCAGTATTTTCAGTATGGCCTGCACGGGACCTAAGAGATAGCTCTGAGTCAGAGACTGGCATGAAATAAATAGTAGAACCAAAGCGACCTTATGAAATCCAAATCCAAATGAAGACTTTTTATATGAACTTATTACATGGCTTCTGAAGACTACTTTCCCAAGTTTCATTATGAGGTTTCAAAGAGCCACCTGAGCAAGTAAGCCCAAATACCCTCTGCTTAAAAGAGAATGCATGTGGAATATTCATGAATCCAAGATCCATTGATTTACAGAGGGCTGAATTGATATAGGATTAATATTGACCCTTCAATCTAGCTGATGGCAGCAAAGTAATTCTAAAACTGAGAAAATCTTAAAATCCTGATGGAAAATAATCAACTCTTAATGGTGATTAACCTGAAAGCTCAACATGTAGATCGCTGAAGAGCTTTTGTGAATATTAAGTTTCAAGCTCATGTATAGGAAAAACTGCTGCCAATACAATGCACTGACTGAACCATGATTGAAATACAAACTCTTCCTGACATGAAACAGATGTTGGAGGTCTCTGGGTATGACTTTTGACCATCTGATTAGTGTTGCACTGCACAGTCCTGGCACCTTTTTTCAGAGGCCCTCCACAGAGGTCAGAAAGGTAAGGAAGGAATAGAGGTGTCCCAGACTCTGTTCAGAGACATGCTTTAAGGATGATGGTGCAATAAACATAAGAAACTTGGAATCCCAAAGCAATCCACATCTAGATAAAAAATAAATGGCAGCCACTTTGGGAGACAGTTTGACAGTTTTGTAGACAACTTAAAATATGATCCAACAATGGCACTGCTTGATATTTACCCAAATGAGTGGAAACTTATGTCTGTCCACTCAAAAGCTATACACAGATGTTTACATCAGCTATTTTCATAATTGACAATACTGGGAATAAACATGATGCCCATCAGTAAGTAAATAATTTGTGGTGCATTCAGATAATGAAATATTACTCAACACTAAAAATAAATGAGCTATCAAGTCACGAAAAGAAGTAGAGTAATTTTAAATACCTATTACTCAATGAGAGCAATCTAAAAAGGCTTACTTTATAACATTATGGAGAAGGCAAAACATCAGGGACAAAAAAAAAGAGATCAGTGGTTACATCAGGGGGAAAGGAGGAATGGCTGGGTAGATCTCAGAGGACATTTAAGGCCGTGAAACTATTCTGTATGCTATTATAATGGTGGGCATGAGTTATACATTTGTCAAAACCTGTAGAATGTACAACACTAAGAGTAAATTCTAATGTAAACTATTGGCTTTGGATGATGATGTGTCAATGTAGATTCATCAGTTGCAATAAACCTACTGCTGTGGGGGATGTTGATAGTGGTAGAAGTTTTGCAAGTATGAGGGGAAGGGTTATATGGAAACCTAGTACTTTCAGCTTATTTTTTTCTGTGAACCTTAAACTTATCTAAAAAATAAAGCCTATTTTAAAAATTCCTTCGACACAGCAGCCTTTTGTATTTTCAATCTGCACTTGAGTAGGACCCAACAAAATCCCTCTGGATTGTGTTTGAGACAATAAACAGTTAGTGATAACTGAACAGATGCTCACAAAAATATATGCACTGAGCATTGCTGAAACCAGTTTAAGGTTAAGAGGAAATAAGAAAATATAGTCAAAGACTATGATGAACAAGCCATTTAAGGAGAAAGAAATTTAAATGGTCAGTAAACAAATAATTAGGACATTTGAAATAAAGTGAGATATATGTCTTTCCAAGGACCAGTGGAATTTTATCCACTGCTCATAAGAGAATGAAGAATTATGCTGGAGAAAATGTTGTTAAGTTCTTGTGTGTATATGTGAAAATCTTAAATATGGGCATGCAGAGATATGTGTAAGGTTATACATGTGTTATGTTTACAATGGTGAAAATTTAAAAACAAACTAATTAACAAAAATATGATATAATAAGCAGAAAACTATATATTTTACTCTGAATAAATTATAGGTATATATACTGCTAAAATATTTACTGACATATATGATGAATAGAAAAGGAACATACTAGAATAATATTGCAACATATTATTTAGAAAAATTATTTTGTGAGAAACTGACAAACTGTGTTCCAAAGTAACTGTATCATTTTATATTCCCATCAGTAGTGAATGACAGTTCCTATTGTTTCACGTTCTCAAGAGCATTAGGTATTGTCAGTATTTTAGAAATTTGGCTATTCCAAGAGCTGTATAGTGGTAACCCATTGTTGTTTTAATTTGCGTTCCCCTGCTAACAAATGGTGTGGAGCACCATTTCATATGCTTATTTTAAATCAGTATATCTTCTATTTTTAGGTTTTTGTCTGTTAGTACCTATTTTTAATTGGTTGTTTTCTTGTTGAGTTTTAAGAGTTCTTTGTATATTATGCATAGTAGTCTTTTATTAGAATGTCTTTTGGAAATATTTTCTTCCAAATTGTGGTTTGTCTTATCATTTTCTTGACATTTTCTGTCACAGAACACAAACTTTAAATTTTAATGAAGTCCAGGTTATCAATTCTTTCTTTCATGGGTCATGCTCTTGGTGTCATATTTAAAATGACAAACCCAAAGTCATTTAGATGTTCTCTTTTGTTACCTTTAAGGAATTTTATAATTTTTCATTTTGCATTATGTGATCCATTCTGAATTAATTTATACAAAGGAGTGTAGAGTCTGCCTTTTTTTTTTTTTTTACATAGGCTTTCAATTGTTCCAATACCATTTTGAAGAGACCATCTTTTCTGTAGTGAATTGTCTCTGCCCCTTTGTCAAAGCTCAGTTGATAGTGTTTGTGTGTGTCTATTTCTGGGCTCTCTACTTTTTCCAATTGACCTCTTTAACCATTGTTTTAATAATAACATCAGGCAGTGTCAGTCTTCCAATTTTGCATTATGTTTCATTCAACATTGGATTCTGGGATTTATTCCCCTACATATAAAGTTTAGAATCATTTTGTCAATATTTGCAACAGTACTTGCTGGGATGTTGATTGGATTTCATTGAATCTAGAGATCAACTAGGAAGCAAGGGAAAGTGGTGGGGGGTAGGCAGAGACAAATGTATTTGAAAAAATAAATTAAAATAAAAAAAGTTCTAATCATAAAATTTTATTAGCAACAGTTTATAGTGTAATTTTTGGTTTTTGACTGTAGATTTTTGTAAAGTGATCTATGGAAGGAAATATGTATTAAATCTTAATATTACAAATATATTTTTAAATCAAAACATTAAAAATCTAATTATATCTTATATCTTGTAATATGATTTAACCAACATCATGGTTATATATTCAAATAGCTTAGCTTTCTAAAAGCTTAAAAACAATTTTTCTTCTTTTCATTTCCTTTCTCATATGAGCTAAGATAAAAAGAAGACAAAAGAATAATGTAAAGAATCATGTAAAACAGAGGCTCATTTTAGAGTTGTAAGCCCCGTGATTATCTTACATTTTTCACCTCCTTTCATTAAGACAATATTACTTTATGCAAATTAGAATTACCCTTTATTATCTGTACTTTATTTTAGTGTATTAAATTTTCTTTAGAAATCACCTGTTAAAATGCATTTAATTGATTGGAAAAGTATCTTGAAAACCTATCTGAAAATTTTAGGTCATTATCAAATTTTTAAAATTTAAACAAAAATCTTCAATACCTTGACAACCTATTTAAGTATAATTCCACTCAAACTTTAAAAATAAAAGCCTTGCATTTAAATTAGAAATTTCCATTTCATCAAATATATTTTAAATTTTTATGGTCATAATTATTCCTCTGAAACAGGATATATGTATATACATATACATTAACATAGATGTTATCTTAGTATCTAAATATCATTCTCCACTTAAAAATGCCAGGGATCTTAGTAAAATATTTTTAAAGTATGCATAGTTTTGTTTTAAAATTATTAAATAGGGTTTCATCAATAGGAAGAAATAGTTCAGAGATTTTTAACATACTATACAATGGTTATAAAATTAACTGGATCACATAAGACACTAGCAAAAATCAAGGTTCACTTTTTTTTTCCCTCTTAGCCTAGGTAGATGAAGCCTGCTAAAGTAATGATGGGACACTCAGCAGGCAATGAGGGAAAGAAAAATACACCAAAGATGAAGAGATTATGTACTTTAGCCAGAGGCCAAAAAGAAGAGAAATCGGCTGAGGATACTTTCAGATACACTTTAATACTTACTTAATACTTTGTGAAGATTTAAGGGCCAAGTGCAGAGAAAATGAATTGGGAATGTTCAACATTGTGATTACCTCAGCTATTTGAGAGAGGGCGTAAGGGGGTGGGAGCAAGGGGAAGAGAGAGAAAGGTAGAGAGACAGAAAGACATAGACAGAGACACAGAGACAGACACAGAGAGAGAGGAGGGAGGAGAGTGGCTGTACAAGCTCTGTGTGGAAAAAGTCCAGTCACTGTTAATGCAATGTTGTGCACAGTTTGCACAACATTGACGTAACCTTGCAGCGAAGGAGAGTGGACTGGAATGCTTGTGAGTGAACAATGATGATTTCTCTGTACTAGTCAGTGGGTGTGGCAGATGCCATTGAGTGAGCATGTGTATTGTGTGGCTGTGACATTCAAAATGACTGAGTTAGTAGAGCAATGAATCTGCATCAAACTTTGTGTTAAGCTTGAACATCCCTCCATGGAAAGTATTCAGGTGATTTAGAAGGCTGCAGCTATGGGCAACTGGTGACTAACAGCTTCAACACGACCAAGTGTCCACTCATGCATCACGTCTCATGCAGAGCTTTTTGGGGAAACATCAAATCACCCAGGTGACTGACTCAGCCCCTCTACAGACCCTATTTGGTACTCTCTGACTTCTGGCATTTCTCAAAACAAAAATCACCTTTGAAAGGGTAAAGATTTCAGACCACCAATGAGATTCATCAACAAGATCACTGTCAATTTCCTAGCCATGTGTAGCGCTTCTGAGAAATACAGTTCTCTTTTACACCAGCATGTTTTACATTCAGTTTTGGTGGCTTCTGCCCAACTGATACAAAGATTCCACTCTTTCTGTATGATTAACCAGTAAAACCTTTACTGTCACCCTCCCTAGCTGTGTTTGCGTAGGACTTCATAACTTTCTCTATTGGAATATATTTACTTTACTGGCTTATAGTTTATGTCTCTGACTTCTCTATGAGATTTTTAAAAGCAAACCCGAGTCTTATTTGCACTTGGATCTGGGTGCCAGACTAAAGTCTGGCACACAATCAATGTGGTGAATGAATAAAAGAGGAGCATTGGCATTTCAGATTTCTATTGCTTATGTTTTCATTGTAACTAAAATTATGCTGAAACTGAAGTTAATTAGGTAGAATTCCTTTGCAAAAGTGAAATTAAAATCTTTCTCAAATGCATTACAAGGAAATGTGTTTTTATTTGGTCTTCTAAAAGATGGGGAAAAAAAAACTACAAAGATCTTGTTTTGCTAAGTGTACTTTTCTCTCAATGTAATTGTATAAATTTATTTATAAATTTAAAATAAAAAACATAAATCTGTGGAAATCGGTTTCTTGTTTTCATTATTTTTTCTATGAATATAAAAAATTAAGATAGGGAAGATTAAATTATCTCTTTTTCTTCTTTTTAATATATTTTATTGGCTTTGTCATCAATTATTGGTTATTGCTTTTACTGATGTTATTTTATACATATATAAACTAAAATTAATCACAATTTTACCTCAGGAGAATTGGTCTTCTATCTTCTTGCAAGTAGATACAGACTGACTAGATGTTTAAACAAAGACATAGTTAGCATATTAACCAGAAACAGACTGAAAAAATTTCAGGGCAATTCTACCACATATTGTTATATATATTGCTGCCACAGCTTAGACTATAAAGAAAAAGAATTCAAAAACCAACTGAGACAATGTCTAAATCAATAAAAAATAAATAAATTCACATAGAAGCAAAGAAACTCTTCCAAATAAATGTCCTGGAGAACAAATCCAAATACAGCAATTCAGAGTCATCAGAAGCTGATGAATAAGATAAACTTGGGATAGCTGCAAAACGAAAGAGAGTCAGGTGAAGTTTCTGGAAACCATTTTCAATGACAAAGTTCTTGAAGGTCACTCCCTTTATTAAGTGTGTGCTACTTTGAACCTGACATCTAATTATTGAATTACATCCAATTTCTCCAAAATCTGCCAATAAACAGGACGGCTTTAATATTATAAACATATCTTTCAGTCCATAGAAAAATTTTCACTTTTCAACAAAGAATACAGATGATATTTTGTATTTTATAATAATGAAATTAGTATAGTTACAGAAGTAAACTCAATAGTATTTATCAAAGTTCCATTACCTAAACACATTCATTTTTAAAAATTATCACATAAAGAATATTTAAGATATTCTAGAAGGTTGTTGGAAGTGGAAGAATTTGTCGAAATGATGTGACTGACATTGACCTTTGGTTGGATCCATGTGACCTGAGGCTTCTTACCTACTCCCTTGTCCTTGCAATTTATGTTCCAACCACTATTCCTACACTAGGAGACACTTCAAGGATTGAGAATTGGTCTTGAGATAGTGAGCTGTTATTGAGACTCTATGCACTATACATGTGACTGAACCCTGTTAGGGCCTCTGCATGAACTTAGAAAATTCTGGTGGGCGGTGTGGTGATGGAGAGCCACTCATCTTGTGGCTGCCCAAGATGTAAATCCCCTTGCTTATTAAACCTGCACCAACCAATCGGAATTGGTCTACCTCTTTCTTTAGTCTTTTCTTGCCCGCCATGTATATGGACCAGTTTCAAATTTCATTTAGGGAACTCCTGTGGTTGAGAACCAAAAAAAGTAAATTGTCTTTTCTTCAAAAAAAAAAAAAGGAAATAGAAATATTATCATTTATTTAAATTAAGCCAAATGTGTAAATTTTAATATATACACCAGAATTACGTATATAATGAAATGATTTTTGCTGTTAACATGTTATTTCTCATTTTCCTAATTTTCTCTAGAGTTACATGTAATTGTTAACCTGGGTACCATGAATTTCTCTGTGAATTGGATATGGATGAATGTGAAGTAGTCTCACCTTGCCTAGATGGAGAAAAGTGTATCAACAGAACCGGACCATACAACTGCCTCTGTGCTCCTGGTTACACAGGTAAACCTCTATCTGCCCTGCCTATATGAACTTACTGCTGTCTGTACATAAATAGTAACTTTTTGCCACTCTCTAAAACCTAAAATAACCTGTCACATGCAAGTAGGACAGAAAGGTCAAGGAAATTATTGGTCTCTTATAACAGACATGAATAAAAACAAATATGTTTTGTAATGTACAATTTGGAAAAGACTAAGAAATATATTTCAAGGTGTTTTACATTTTTATGCTTTTTGAAGTTTTTTGAAGTATGTTTATATGATTATAATATAGAAATTAAGCATAAGTGTATGACTAATCTAAGAGAAAAAATGCTCATATCAATTACAAAAATGTCATTTTAAAAATATAAATTTACCTCTTTTAAATATATTTATATACTAAAAATTATTCAGGGAGCCCTTGTGAATTTGAAGTTCTAGCAGAAAAAAATATGATTTGGAGTTAGCTGTCCAAATATCAGTTATTCCACAACATAAATTCTACTCAAATATAGAGGCAAAAGTAATTAAGGAACTTAAAAAAAAGAGAAAAGCATTAGCCCTCTAAACTTCTGCTGAGAAATTGCACTTATGAAATATAAAAATTTAGTGTTTTGATATGCCAATATTAATTATGTGGATCCAGCAAGAAGGTATTAAAATCTTAAATCTCAATTTATTAATGTTAGGTACCACATTACTGAGATCTTTTGGGTTCTTTTTCTAAGGGAAATTAGTTCAGTAAATTTAATACTGGAGTAAATTATAAAACATAAATACATAGAAATACAAAAAACATAAAAACATAAATACAAAATACATAAAAACAAAAAAAAACATAAATAAATAGAAATGAGATTGGAAAGCAAAACTGATAAAGAACTAAAAATATTTTTAGTGGGTAAGTGATAAAAAGGTAACAAATAACCTTGAACAAATAGCATGGGTGTATCTTTCCTGTTGAATCCTTATGGCCTCAGAGAAAATTACCTTGGTAACAATTGGTTCATACACAAAAGTCTTAGCTTAAATTTAAAAACAAAAATATTAAAAACCAGTATCTACAGATTTTCTTACATAAATAAGAAAAATTGCCCGTTGGCTATAAAACTGTTCCTTCTAAATTTCCCATTGCCCTTCATCTTCCAAATTACTGAGATTTCTTTTTGGGACTTGAGACGTCCACACTAGCAATGCCATTCGCCATGATGCCCTTTTGCTGCAGCTCCTGCTGCTTGCAGTGTTAAAATAAGGATGACACACTAAGCTCAATGTGACTGAGAAACATGTTTTGTAAAGTTATTTGTTATAACACATTGTTCTAGTATTGTAAATGCATCTTAAAGTTTGAAGGATCAACATTTTTTTCCACAGCCTCTCTATTTTCCTTGCAAGCTATGGTGCTTAGCATTGTTTCACAATTTATGATTGAGTTGCCAGTTAGACACCCCAGTGGTGAAGTTGAGTACACAGTTGGCTATATGAGATAGTCTGCAATGAAAACATAAACTTGGGAGTCTAGATATACAACTGTAATACTGGATAGAATAAAAAAGAAGTGAATGTAGATAGAATAGAGAAGGACCAAGGACGAACTGAGCCTGGGGATACTGCAATACTTAGGAATCCAGGAGAGAAAGAGGAATGAGCAAAAGAAATTGAAAAGAGCAGTCAGTGATACAGGGGGGAAAACAAAATAAGGGCTATTAACCATTGAAACTGGCAATGCTAATGTCATTGGTGACATTGTCAAGGAAGCAATTTTGCTGCATTGGTGGATACAAAGTCTGTTCAAAGGGGATTTAAGAAAGAATGTGAGAAATTAAATTGCTGAGAATGATTATAAACAATTTCTTAAAGTAAGGTTTTTTTAATGATATAAACACGAAATGGTCAGTATCTTGAGAGAGTAGTGAGATTAAAAGTTTGTTTTTTTTTATTTACATGCTTATTAAATGCCTCTCACTTCTATGTGGGGAATGGACTGGAGAATTTCAGTAAATAGAAGCAAAGGAACAAATCAGGAGGCTTTGGAACAATGCTCTCATAAACAGGCATTCAGGGGGCACACACTGTGTATTCGATTAATGGGAACGGTGCTTAAGGATTAAAGTGTTCTTAAACTTCCTTTCAATCTCTAGATCTGAATTTGTATGGCATATTTTCCAAAGAAAATTTAAATTTTGAACTCAGTAATGTATAGTTGGTTATTGGCTAACTCTATCATGGTCTTCTCATATGGAAAGAAAAGTTTTCTTCTTAACTACAAAAAGATTTACTGGAAAGTTACAGAAGTCTAGCTTACATGCTATGTAAGTAGGGATTTTTGCCCTTGGTTTGGTGGTCAAGTATGAACCCTCAGGTAAACTTGCTATGCAGTAATTAGAGTAACCAAAGTGTCTGTCTAGATGTATGTAGTCAATTCTAAGTTGATTTAGCTATCATTTTAGGCCAGATGTATCAGAGATTGGCAACTTGCTAACTTCTTCTTTGAAGGGTCGGAGAACTAAATTCTCATAGTTTTACTAGAAAGCTATGACCATTAAAAAATACAATTCATTTATATTTATTTTTCCTTAATATAGATATATCTGAGCGAGACCATATCTTTATATATCATATAGCATATGATATTAATTGTCATGAGTATAAATTATATAGAGAAATGATTATGGGGGCAGGGTAAGGTTAGGAGTTGGGGAGGTAACTTTAATAGAGAAGTCAGTGAAGGTGATGGAAAAATTCATTTGATTTAAAATTGAGATGTCAGTTATATATTGGTACACACATACCTATGTGTGTAGATAAAGAGATAGGTAGTGAATGATACAGAGATATGAAAAACCAAAATTACAATTAATCACCTATGAAAATAAGAATGTTTGCCTTTCTTAGGTACTTAGGTACTTATTAAATAAGTAACAGATACTTATTTTTTTATATAAAGGGACTCTGAAGAGGTTAAACCAGCAAGAAGCTTTGATATTTTTAAGGGCTATTATAATCTTCATAATATATATGTAAAGTTGTATGGGGAAAAAATTATCACATCACATATCAAATAGGAGAAACACCTACAAATTTTAGCTGTAGTTAGAAGTTTATCTGTTTTCTATATTAGGAAACAAAACAGGTATTTTATAAAGACTAATCTAGCTTTACAAATTTTGAAGATGCTCAAATTCTGCAACATGCTTTCATTTCCACACCTATGTGTAACGTGGTCCCTGTGCTTAGCAATGATTACATTTTCCCTGTACTTCTTAATCATGATTCTGTAACAACATTTAGATATAAAATGTACTATCCTATTAGTAACACTAGAAAAGCTGATTTGTCTGTACAGCGCAAGGTGAGGAGTTAAGGAATAACATTCGAAAGCAAATATAGCAAACTTAACAAAACTTCTCCAAAGAAAGCAAGTTCTTTCAATACTTTTACATTTTTCTCCTGACAAATATCTCCATATTTCTAAATAACATACTTATACTGCTATTTCTTAATTTGTTTTCTATTTTTGAACATTATCTAAGTAGTTTTTCCTATGGAAAATAAGGATTTACTTGTTATCAACATCCTGATTCACCAACACATAAACAGTTTTCCTCACTACTTCCTTGTAAACTGGTTTTATAAAAAATTTTTATTATTCAAAATGTTGCTATTAACATTATTGTGACCGTATATATTTTTCCTTTTGTTTTTTTATTCTTGTTTGTTTTGATAAGGATTTACTTATACCAATGATTTTATATTGTTGAAGAACATTTAGATTTTATTTTAATTTCAAAAAAGTCTTTCTTCTTATTTAATATTTTGCAGTATATTCTGTGAATTTCACTGATAAAGTCTTCTTTTCTATAAAAATAATTAAAAAGTGTTTTGTATGTTTTATTCCTTGCATTTTCTTAATCTCCAAATTCCTTTTTACTCTCTGTTTTTTTCTTTTTTCGTGTATCTCTGTATTTAGAGATTTTTTTAAAATATATCAGATTTTTAGATATCAGTTAATATCTAAGAAAGAACTACTAAAATGCTAATTGAAAACTCTGAGTGAATGAAAATGCTTTACTGGTGATTTTGTTACTTTGTGTAAATGAACATGAACACCAGCTTTTTCAATGGAGAAATGTGAAATATTATCATTGGTGGCCTTTTTCTTTTTGGGAAAGGGGCAGGGGGAGACAGTGGGTGGGAACAGGGATGCAACAGGGAAAGACAGCTTGACAAGATTTGGGCAAACCAGAGCCCAAGGTCTAGTTAGATATTTCCAATTGTTAGGCCACCTAAAAATTCTTAGGGCGATATATACAATTCAACTTATTTTTTCCCCCTATTGTCCTTTATATTATTGTTTCAAACCTCTTAACACAAACATGTATATAGTTTATAATACAAAGCAGTTGCGTGTTAGTGAACTTTGGGGGAATAAAGCAATCAATACAGTCTGCAGCACGGGGCACAGCAGCGGGAACCAAGGGCGGGAGTCACAGCAGACAAGAAAGGACACTGCTGAAGGAGAGGCTGGCATGACATTAGCTGAAGACTAAGTAGGGAATGTGTAAATTCCTCAGGAATTCTTGATGATTAGTGCCATTTTCAGACCACCCTTTTTTCTAATTTTCTCTCCCCTCTACAAATACTTGTTCCCCTTTTTTCCTAACCTAAATTCTAAGTCTTATAATTATAATCATCCCCTAACTTCTATTACCCCACACTATTCTCTTTCCATAATTCTTATCTTAAAACTCTTAATCCTAATGTTAATTCCAACTTCCCATATATTTTCATTCACATAGGTTGCATAGGACAGAAGAAAACAAGTGTTGACACACACACAAACACACTCATTCATTCATATACACTGGGTGCTCTTGCCTTTTTTAAAAAAAAATTATTTGCTTATTTTTAGAGGGGAAGGGGGGGCAAGAAACAACAGTGTGTGGTTGCCTCTCATGCAACCCCCACTGGGGACCCAGCCTGGGATGTGCCCTGACTGGGAATTAAACCTGTGACTCT